CGAGCTGCCGGGCAAGATCGAGTGGGTGATGTCGAGCACCTGCTGGAGCTGCTTGGGCGTCTGTGCGCGCGGCAGGGGGGGCGTGCGGGGGAACGGAGGGGCTTCGTGTGGCCGCGGCGAGCCTCGACCACGAAAGCCTGCCCCATCTAGACCCAAAGAACGGCCCGAAAACCATACCCGGAGGCGGCGGCGGAGGCGGAGGAGGAGGAGCCCCTCTTGAACCCGAAGTGGTGCTGCACTTCCCTGGCCTGCCCCGAGGCGCGCCGTGACCAAGCTTTCGGGGCGGGCCCAGCCTGTGGCAACGAGGGGCGGGCCGCCCGCCGCCGTCAGCACGCGCTCCATCGCGTCCACGGAGGCGGGTGCTCTCGCGGGGAGAGGGGAGCAGCGGTCAGACGAGCCTGAGCGCGGTGAGAACCGGGAGAGGGGAGAAGGTGAAGTGCGGCGCAGACGAATCCAATTGACGAGAGTTAGCCACTAAACAGCAAGCTTTCCGCGAAAGATCGGCAGGGACAGAGGGATTGAGAGAGAGAGATAGGGAGAACAAAAACAAACATAAAGAGACAGAGAGAGACAGGGAAAGAGAGAGAGAGCGAGAAGGAGGATGAGCAAGGATGCCACAAAAGACGTCCGAGGGACTCCCGAGGCCCAAATACAGGAGACCAGGGAAAGAAACGATCACCATCTTCCCCAGATCGCTCCTTGGGTGCGTTCCGACAGTCTGATCGAAGGGAATCAAGCCGTGGCGAGTAGAAGCCTCCAAGAGGCCCAACAAGAACGAAAGACACAGGAAACATCGAGCATGGAGAGCGGCCCTCGTCGCCGTCGCCCGTCGTCGTCGTCGTCGTCGTCGTCGTCATCGTCGTCGTCGTCCGTTGCATTCGTCCGTTGCATTCGTCGCCAATCTTCGCCGTCGCACGCCGTCGTCATCGTTGTCGTCATCGTCGCCTGCCGCCGTCATCGCCGGACGTCGTCGCCCGCCGTACACAGTCGTCATCGTGACCCGAACTCGCTGCCGCCGCCGCCGCCGCCGACGTCGTCGTCGTCGTCGCCGTCGTCGGCGCCGTCGTCTCCCGCAATCGCCGTCTCCGTCGTCGTCGTCGTGTTCGTCGCCCGGCGTCGTCGTCGACCGTCGTCGTTTTCGTCACCAATCGACCTCGATATCGTCGTCGCCCGCCGTCGTCGTCGACGGCGGCATCGCTGCGGTGGGGCCCGGGGGCCTTCAGCTTGACCTCCTTCTGTGGTCCGGAGGCCCACGTCTTGTGCAGCTGCAAGAACTCCGCCCGGCACGTCGTCTGGCGGGGGCGGCGGAGGAACGGATGCTAGGATTCCAGGTTGGCCTAGCACGCGCCCTTGCATAGGTACGAGGTCTGGGCAGAAGGAGGTAAGAGGCCAACGACGACGACGACTAAGACGCACCACGGCGGCGAGGACGACAGACGACACGACGACAACGACAGACGAACGAGCGCGGCGACAGAGAACATGACGACAACGACGACGACGGCGGCAGCCGCGCGGCGGAGTAAAGAAAAAATTGGAAGATTAAGGAGGTGCCGATCCTTCGTGCTCTCTGGGCCTCTCCCAGGGTGCGTTCTGACCAGAATTTCGAGGCGAGTCCAGCCGTGGTGTCGATGGGACTGCCAAGAAGCCCGGAGGCATCAGTACTGTTATTTTTTGACAAGTGCTTTTTGATTGAGAGGTGCATGTCTTACGCAAGACGGCGCGGCAGCCTTGAGCGGTGGCTTTCGAGGCGCCGCCAGAGCCACGCACCGCATGAAAGATGGGAGGGCCTATCGCGCGACTCTCACTCGAGCGGCTTTCGCGCGCATGCCCGTGCAACCGACCCCGTGTTCTTGCGTCGCACAAAGCGGCGCATGCTCCGCTCACAGAAGCTGACACTATACGCCTACCTGCCGCCTGGGGCTAACAAACTCTCTGCACGCTGGACCCCCTGGGACCGTCAGGCGCATGGGTGCCTCGCTGGTCCTGCCGCATCAATAGCTAAGGTATTTCGAGCACGACGGCGGTGCCGATGTCGCTCTTGCCCACCAGCCGAAATTCACCTGCAATCACGGCTGCGAATGCGTTTGTCAGCCCAAGCACTGATACCTTGGCGCACCACTTTGCAGCAAACCGCAGTAGAGACGTCCCATGTTTCTGGTTTCGCAACTACTGCATTCCCAAATCAACTTTGCCGAGCCACTGGTGACAAATCACCACGGCAATCCTCTGTCCTATGTCCCCCTCCTCTTTCAAATATCCATCCCGAAATTCGCCGGCCCAACGGGCCAGGGCGTGCTAAGATCTCCGGTAACTGGTTAACAGTATTAACAGTATTTCTAGTTCGCGCGCGCGGGGCGGCCCCTGGGGGTCCCCCGGCGAAAAGTACCCCGACCAACGCCCGGTCGCCGCCCGACCGCCGCCCGACCAAGTCTACTCAGAGATGGTTTTCCTTCTGGGTGCGGCCTCTCAGGCTCCCCAGAGCGCGCTCAGAGTGCCCCAAGAGGCCCCCAAGACTGCCCAAGAGGCCCCCGAGACGCCCAAAGAGCGCTCGAAGACGCCGAAGATGACCCCAAGACGGCCCAAAAGGCCCCCAAGACAGCCCAAGAGGCCTCCAAGACGCCCCAAGAGCCTTCCAAGAGGCCTCCGAAGAGAGCCCCAAGAGGCCAAAATCGTTGATTTTCATTGGTTTTTTCTATGTTTTTTGTGTTCTGGCTTTTTCGGCTTCCGGACGCTCCAAGACGGCCCAAGAGGCCCCCAAGACCGCTCCAAGACGGCCCACGAAGCTCCCAAGACGGCGCCGAAACGACCCAAGAGAGCCCTCAAGACGGCCCAAGTGCCGCCCAAGACGGACCAAGAGGCCCCAAGACGGGCCCAAGAGGGACTCAGGAGGGATACCGAGAACTCAAAAATGGAGCCCTCCGTCCCAGAAGGCGCCCAGGAGGTCCCAAAGAGGCCCCAAGAGGCCTCCAAGAGGCCCCAAGATGTCGCCAAGAGGCCCCAGGAGACTCCCAGGAGGCCCAAAAGAAGCCCCAGAAGGCTTCAAACATGTCTCCCAGGCGCCCCCGAACGGCCTCTCAACAGACCCCAAGAGGCCCCCCAAAGAAGCATCTTGACGACGACTCTATTTCGCCCCATCGAGAGACGACCCCCAGGGAACTGCTTCACCATCAAAACTCCCCACGCAACGCGTCCGAACGACACCCGCCCCCAAGAGCGCAACATGGGCAACGAACACACAGACAAAAACCAGCGATGCCATATCACGGGCCGGCGGAATGAGCGAAGCGATTCAATAAGATGCAAGTTGATGCCCCGAGTGCGACCACAAAGAGATCGACGGCGAACCTGGAACAACAACAAACTCCAGCGGCAACCAGGACGAGAAAGAGAAGGAACGACGACATGACAAAGGCCCGACCAAACACAATTACCAAACAATAACGAAGCTGCTCATGATCCGCGATGCCATTGACGCGGCGGGGACTGCCAGCGAGAGATAAATGAACGAGGAAAAAAGGGGGGAGCTCTGATGCAGTGGCGACGTAAGCGATGACAACAGAAGAAGCAGCGGATTGATGTTCTGCTCGGGCAGCGCACTCACTCACGGTAATGCTCAGCACCGAAGATTGCCTCACCCACTTTGAACTTGTCGGCCCAGTACTGAACCCCCAGAAGGGCGAATTGCGCCACGAGGAATGGGAGGCCCGCGTAGACAAAGACAATCAGAGGCGTCAGATCCTTGGCAAAAACCCTTCGGAAACTCACTCAACATCCCGATCGGGCTGCCCTGCGAACTCGGAACCGCAAGCACAAACGCCATCGAGCGCGCGAAGGGATCACGGGCGTGTCAATTGCAACATACCAAGAATCATCAGGCAATGGGCGATTGATTACATCATCAAGATCACGTGATCGGACAACTAAGGCCCAAACAGGCACGTCGGTGGTAAGTGCTACGATGGCCTTGCGCAAGTGGGCCAAGAACTCCTGAGACAACATTCAACCAACACCACCGGAGCCGGACACAAGGAAATTTGCGCCAGAACAGCGGATGACAGCCAACCGTTCCCTAGTGCAAGTCTGGTGCTGGATGACCTCGCAGCCTTCTGGCTGCTGGGTTCCTCGATCTGCACCTTCACTCGGGTACTTTCACTCCTCCCTCGCCCTCCTCCAACCTTTGGGAGCCTCGGGGACCTTCCTATATCCTGCCCTGGGGCCTACCTGAGAAGCCTCGTGAGCATTCCCGCGGCAGCCCCTTGCTCCGCGGGCCTGGTGCCTCCTGGCGCCCCCCAAGCCGACGCTCCCTGGAGACGCCTGTGATTTCCTGGAGGGCCTCTCTCGAGTCCTTGGCAGTTCCGTGCTGAGCATGGGACAGCAATGCGGACTCTTGAATAAAGGGGCCCAGGCCCCCAATCGCGGAATCCCATGGTGAGTCTCAGCATTTCTAGGCCGGCATGACTGTCACGAGGGCCTCGGGAGGGCGGCTGCGAATTCACATTTGGAGATATAACAACATAGGTACATGAAATGTGCGGAGCTCCGCGCGCAAAGCGCAGACCCAGCAGATCCGCGCAGATTCTCGAACGATGATGTTAAGCGCGCTGTTTCTTCTTCGGGCTTCGTACGATCGCAGAGACATATGATCCCAAGGCACCGTCCTGGGGCCGTAGGCGCCTGGGGGGCTGGCCAAAGTGCCAACACCACTGTACGCCATGACGTAGGTTTCAGATCAACGATGCTGGCCGTTGTCGTCGTCGTCGTCGTCGAAATCGTCGTCGTCGTCGACGCCGCCGACGCCGCCGCCGCCGTCTGTCGTTGTTGTCTTCGTCGCCGCCGCCTGGGTCACCCAACTTCGCACATCGCGCGCGCGATGCGCGAATCCCAACGTGCTTCTTGGCGTATCTGGGGCTGCTCAGATGATTGTCCCGATAGCCTCGGGAATGAGGTTGCGCATTCACATTCCATGAAAAAAAAACTTAATACGGAACTCCGCGCAC